CTGAGCTCAGGTCGGATACCTAGAAAACAAAGGAAGACAATAAATAAGTTAACAAAGTAGCCAGGCTTGGACTAAATACGGTCTGGGCAGAAACATACCCAAATTATCAGGGGCAGACCACTTTGTAGGGATGTGGAGGGTATCAGTTTTATTCTCTGAGTTGAACTCCCACTGTGTACCGCCTACAAAGAAAAATTATTTCTTCCAACCTTTATGGGAGCTTGGGAGGTCAAAGATGACTTGTTTGGCCTTAGCCCTCTTGGAAATATACAGAAAACTGTCAGATGAGGTCTGCTTGACATTGAACAGCTCCATAAGTATGGAAACAATAGGGGCCCCGAGCTTTTGGTCCCTAAAGAAGACTAGTAAACCCATAAGAACACCCTAGAAGTTGGGGGAGAGCTGGGCAAGGCAAACATTGAAGTATTGAAGGACACATTCGATAAAAGGATGAATGGGGAACCGAAGTCCATTATCAAAAGCTGCAAGGAAGAAACAGACCTTCTTATGGACATGGTGAACATATATGGTGTACTTATCAGGACTCCAGGGCTGAACCCCTGGGGGAAACCAAAGCGAGCACTAAGAACTTTCAGGTCAGAAGGGGTAAGTCCGTTGGGACCTACAAGTTCAGCGTTCCTAAAGGCAGCCCCTGCGCCTAAAACAATGACTCCTATACCACTTACTTTGTCCTTGCCCTTATCAGGTCTATCAGGCATGGGAGAAGAGATGGAGGGGGTCTCCTCAGTTTTCACCTCTACCTCGGCAGAGTCTACGCCAAGAAAGTTGTCAATCTCATCACCCACATCCCCTAAATCAGAATCTCTTTCGGCGGACCTATCGCCTAAGAGGAAAACAGAGGACGAAGTTGCTCTAGAGGAGGCAGACATGATTGGCAAGGAGAAAGGCAAGTTGAAAGAATGATAAAAAGGAGGAATACTAACTAAACATCCCTTGATAATCCTAAGGTCAGGACTGTTCCTCCCAATAGTAAGAATTCGCACAGTGGAGTTCCAATCCACAACGCGGAGAAAAGGAGATAGGCAACGATTGCAATTCCAAAAGAAAAAAAACCAAAAAACCCAGAAAAGCAATGGTCACCTTGAAGTCGAGGAATCCAGAGTGAGGAAAGGTAAGAGAAAGAGAAAGGGGCAGAAGGAAGCGTACCTAGACAGGGAAGAGAGTAGCAAACAGCAGCCAGAGAACAAAATTGGAGGAGAAGAACAAAGCAGGACTTCGAGTCAAACCTAGAAAGCACAGTCTAGAGTAGAAAATAAGGGAATCGTGTGGAGGAAAGCCTAGAAATAGCAGAAAGAAAGAGCCGAAGACGAAGGTGAACAACGTAGAAGATGAACAAGGGATTTTGAGCGATTTTCTGGTAGCCGTTTGAGCATTTAAAGCTTGAATGACGTAGGCTGAAACATGCACGGGAATCGAGGAAGCCATGATTACTGTAAACCGTCAAAATGCCCCTCCCACGTGCATCCCACATGCGGACTAAGGTCAGCTAGGTGTAGGTCTGGTCCAAGGTGAAAGCAGCTCAGCCCATGCCCAAGCTCACTTGGGCCAAGGGCTGGGGGGGCAACTGATGATACCTCAAAATAAATCCCAAGTGCCAGCTCAGGAGGTCAGACTATGCAAGCAGAACTCGGAAGATAAGCGATAGCAATGACAACCAAAGCAACAGTTGGATAATCACAAGAGGTTTCTAAAGCATTAGGAAGCTATAATCAAGACACCTAATCTTACCTAACCAAGATCTTCTCCTAAAAATTAAAGAGAACCCCGCGAAGTAAGGGCAAGAATCTCGGCCAGGATCCCACTTAGCAGGGAATGACCCTATAAATGCAATGTAACACCTCCTAATAGGAGGAGGAACCCTAGAAACAAAAAGGAGTCATTGTAACCTTGTAACAACGATTATTGAAAGAAAATGAGTAAGCGCTTTCATTCCAGAGTGGACTAGCCAAACTCTCGAGTTGGTAAACCACTATATTTCTACTGTATTAATTCCCCAACTCCCCAATAATTTCCTCGAGTCTAATTGCTCAAATTCTAATAATTTTAATATTATTTCTTTTATTTACTCGTCATCACAAAAATATGTTCACGTTAAAATACAACATCAGTCTCAAACTAACGTGGAATGGAAAGACCTCCGGGNCGCTCAAATTCTAATAATTTTAATATTATTTCTTTTATTTACTCGTCATCACAAAAATAACTTCACGTTAAAATACAACATCAGTCTCAAACTAACGTGGAATGGAAAGACCTCCGGGATGCCTGGCCTCTGCCTATTGTTTGAAAGAGAGAAAGTGCAGGAGTTTTAAGAATTCATCAAACAGGACAAGCTTCTTTCTTGAGCAGATTTTGGTCAAAGCTATAAGTTGTTGTATTTCATGTGTGTTGGGCTGGCAAGTCATTTATTAGCCGTTAGATGATGTACGATCTACTTTTCCTCTTCTTTTTGAACTGTTTTGATGGGTTATTTGACAAGAGTAATGTATCCACTGCAACTATACTCAGTACACATGTAAACTTCTGTTCACTGGTAACTAAACATTTGCTTGCTTACCAAAAGAAATAAGATTATATGAAATATCGTTTGGTTGCAGTATTAGACATAGATGAATTAGATAAAATAATTCAGTTTAATACAATATAAAAAGACAAAAGACAAGATTAAATATGGTATTAGAATAATATATAATTTTATGTAGTGTTTAATAATACACAACATAAACGTTGGATAATAATTATTTAATCCAATTAGTTGTTTGGTTAAAAAATTATTTTATCGTATTAATGTTGAATTAACAAAAATATTTTCAATTAGTGTTTGTTACATTGATGACAGTTTGATTTTATCAGTTAGAGGGTTATAATGGTAAATGTGCAAAATAATATTTTTGAGTTGGATTATAATACCACCTCTTTTGGTGGTAGTAAAATACATTCATAATATAGGTTTAACGTATAAAAAATATATGATAAGTATACGTTTTTTAAATTAATACGGTATCAAATTTACTTACNAGCGGAGAAAAGGAGATAGGCAACGATTGCAATTCCAAAAGAAAAAAAACCAAAAAACCCAGAAAAGCAATGGTCACCTTGAAGTCGAGGAAACCAGAGTGAGGAAAGGTAAGAGAAAGAGAAAGGGGCAGAAGGAAGCGTACCTAGACAGGGAAGAGAGTAGCAAACAGCAGCCAGAGAACAAAATTGGAGGAGAAGAACAAAGCAGGACTTCGAGTCAAACCTAGAAAGCACAGTCTAGAGTAGAAAATAAGGGAATCGTGTGGAGGAAAGCCTAGAAATAGCAGAAAGAAAGAGCCGAAGACGAAGGTGAACAACGTAGAAGATGAACAAGGGATTTTGAGCGATTTTCTGGTAGCCGTTTGAGCATTTAAAGCTTGAATGACGTAGGCTGAAACATGCACGGGAATCGAGGAAGCCATGATTACTGTAAACCGTCAAAATGCCCCTCCCACGTGCATCCCACATGCGGACTAAGGTCAGCTAGGTGTAGGTCTGGTCCAAGGTGAAAGCAGCTCAGCCCATGCCCAAGCTCACTTGGGCCAAGGGCTGGGGGGGCAACTGATGATACCTCAAAATAAATCCCAAGTGCCAGCTCAGGAGGTCAGACTATGCAAGCAGAACTCGGAAGATAAGCGATAGCAATGACAACCAAAGCAACAGTTGGATAATCACAAGAGGTTTCTAAAGCATTAGGAAGCTATAATCAAGACACCTAATCTTACCTAACCAAGATCTTCTCCTAAAAATTAAAGAGAACCCCGCGAAGTAAGGGCAAGAATCTCGGCCAGGATCCCACTTAGCAGGGAATGACCCTATAAATGCAATGTAACACCTCCTAATAGGAGGAGGAACCCTAGAAACAAAAAGGAGTCATTGTAACCTTGTAACAACGATTATTGAAAGAAAATGAGTAAGCGCTTTCATTCCAGAGTGGACTAGCCAAACTCTCGAGTTGGTAAACCACTATATTTCTACTGTATTAATTCCCCAACTCCCCAATAATTTCCTCGAGTCTAATTGCTCAAATTCTAATAATTTTAATATTATTTCTTTTATTTACTCGTCATCACAAAAATATGTTCACGTTAAAATACAACATCAGTCTCAAACTAACGTGGAATGGAAAGACCTCCGGGATGCCTGGCCTCTGCCTATTGTTTGAAAGAGAGAAAGTGCAGGAGTTTTAAGAATTCATCAAACAGGACAAGCTTCTTTCTTGAGCAGATTTTGGTCAAAGCTATAAGTTGTTGTATTTCATGTGTGTTGGGCTGGCAAGTCATTTATTAGCCGTTAGATGATGTACGATCTACTTTTCCTCTTCTTTTTGAACTGTTTTGATGGGTTATTTGACAAGAGTAATGTATCCACTGCAACTATACTCAGTACACATGTAAACTTCTGTTCACTGGTAACTAAACATTTGCTTGCTTACCAAAAGAAATAAGATTATATGAAATATCGTTTGGTTGCCGTATTAGACATAGATGAATTAGATAAAATAATTCAATTTAATACAATATAAAAAGACAAAAGACAAGATTAAATATGGTATTAGAATAATATATAATTTTATGTAGTGTTTAATAATACACAACATAAACGTTGGATAATAATTATTTAATCCAATTAGTTGTTTGGTTAAAAAATTATTTTATCGTATTAATGTTGAATTAACAAAAATATTTTCAATTAGTGTTTGTTACATTGATGACAGTTTGATTTTATCAGTTAGAAGGTTATAATGGTAAATGTGCAAAATAATATTTTTGAGTTGGATTATAATACCACCTCTTTTGGTGGTAGTAAAATACATTCATAATATAGGTTTAACGTATAAAAAATATATGATAAGTATACGTTTTTTAAATTAATACGGTATCAAATTTACTTACGAAACAAAATATTAGGTCCGATTAAATAAAAAATAATATAATTTAATATTTAATTCTCTCATAATACGTCTATCAAACAAACCTGCAAGAATACTCAGTACACATGTAAACTTCTGTTCTCTGGTAGCTAAACATTTGCTTGCTTACCAAAAGAAATAAGATTATATGAAATAGTGCAGTGAATGAACATATATATTACTTAACAATTAATATAACTGTATACATTTACCACATGCATGTTCTCTTGCATGTATTACAGCATGGCCCGTCATAACTTGTGCCAGCCAAGAGTCCAATCCCGAACCAAGCATATACTTATCCACCACCTTCAAAAGTAACTTGCATTTGCAATCCCTGGTTTCAAGCTATTACACAATCCACAGAAATCACGACATACAAACCAACACACGCCATACAGACAAACAGTATAAATCATGCATACAAACTTTTACGAGAGAGAGACAGAGAGAGACAGAGACTTCATGCCAGTAACTTATGAAAAAGGGCTTGGAATTTCTCCATCTCCTTGGCAGGTAGAGCGACCAAGACATTCACTCCATTGCTGCTAAGCCCATCAATGTCGGGAAAGAGCAAAATAATGTCCTTCCTGTGATACACCAAGGGACAACTATACCTTGGTTTGCCCCATGGATACTCCACTTCAGTGAAACCCAATCTCCACCATGAAGATATCAGAAACTCCCCATGTGGAAACCCTTTGTAGAGCTCTCCCCAGTCAATTGCAGACCTTGCATACTCAGCTGTCATTCTAGCATTACCCTCTGACACCATCTCCACCAACCTTGAGAACGGCCCTTCTTCTAGCTCCTTACATTGTGCCATTGCATACGTGCTGAGCACAGCATTGCCGGCATACGAGGCCGGCAGTGGTGGCTGCAACCTAGACCGGATATCCACAGCGTAAAGAATTGTGGAAATCCGGTCTAAATTATTCCCTGTGTCACATGACAAGGCCTTGCACCGCCATATATGGGTGGTGACCACGTTAAAGCCAGTGATCCGTGCTTTGGTATTACCAGCTTTTGCCTTCTCCTTCAGAGAAGCGATGTGGTCAGAGCTTAACCGGAAGATTCTGAAGTTGAGATCTTCCGGTGGGCAATCGAAGACTGGAGGCCCAGACTCTTCGCCTATTGGAAGTTTAAGCTTGAGGAGCTCATGGTGGGGGAAGGTAACAGAAGGCGGAGATCTGGCGGCTAGAAGTCCACGGTCATTGCATGGAAGGACTGCCAAGGGTTTGTCATCAAAAGCTTGAGATGCCAGATTCTGTAAGAAAATTTTGAAGCTTATGCCATCAAATGCAACATGATTGGTCGATATTCCCATTGCAAAACCTCCACACTTGAATGATGTCACCTGTAAAGTAAAGACACAACAGTTAATAAATAGAACTAGCATCTTCAAAACATAGTTGAAATTTTGCGACTACACCTAATATACATCATGGATTGAGCTAGTAAAAATTACTGAAAATAATGAACAACGACTTACTCCTTTCTATCTAACTAAAAATGCCTCGTTTCTTATTGAAGTTGCTTAACTTTTGAGGTTTTTTTTTTTTTTTTGGGGGGGAGGGGGACGGGGAACATTTGAGGTTTGAAGTCTCTCTTTCACCGGGATAAAATTGCACACTTTTATTGATTTAAGAGTAATGCTACAAAACTTAAATGCATATCATTCCTTCGATGAATGGTTCATATTGAGTTTCATTTGAATTATGCGGTATTTTTTTTGATTTAAAGGTCTATCCAAAAGAAAAGAAAAAAAAAGTTGAATTTTTTTCATTAGTATTGATTTAAGTTTATATGTAATCTGTGGGTTTCTTTTGACAACATATGTAATTGACTATGGGTTTCTTCTCACTTCATATGTAATGGACAATCCTAGTTGTTGAGATGACATTCAAAATTCCCTTTTTCAATATCAAATTGCTAATCCTCAAGACGGCATGTTCATCAACTATAAGTACTACCATAATAAAACTTTGGTATTGTAGTATTATTTGTTTAAGAAATAGTTGAAGCAATGCATGAAATCACTAATCATGGGTGAACCACAAATATTGCTGACCGTCTCTAGTCAAAAGTCAAAATTCCATTAAGTGTACTAATATTATCTCCATTAAATTTTCATTAATATTACCTATGAATTTATGGGGGTTCTATTTATAAGTGGGATCTTCACTCATGGATAATAAATAATCTATAATATAAAGTAGAACGACTTCAATAATTTCATCCGACGGTTTCAAATAGACTAATCTAATGACTACTAACATCCCTTTCAAAACCGTTTATATTGAATCTTCTCCCTCCAAAATTCATCACTTATCACCTTATTAGATTTATATCACAACGTGCCGTCAGATATGATTGACCCTAGTTTATCATGTTAGAGAATGCATGCAGTTCAGGCATTAATTAATTAATTGATGGATTTTAAGCCGAGGAGAGGTTCACTAACCCCCCCCCCCCCCCCCCCCCC